CAGACCAAATTGGGCTTAATAAGCGGCTGGGCTTATTAACCGTGGACTCAATAGCCGGCGACTACTGTATCAACTTGTAAACCCAGTCAGCTGTGGTTAACCTGCATAACCCCAAAGTGCACAGTAATCGTTGAACCATTTTACGATGACCACACTCAGGGTGAAAAGTTAACCCACAACAGAACGCGTTTTAACACAATGCTTCAGACCTCAACAAAGTACAGTAAAGTGTCAAACATTGTTCTTCAAGGCAGTACATCTGCAGCAATTCTAAAAAAGTTGAATTCCTTTGCGAATATAATCACTGATAAAGCTACTGCATTTGGGGCAGCATTGTGATTGCTTGCGTGCATAAAATTACAATTACCTAACGGTGGTTAAGAATTAAACTGTCAAAAATCAGCCTTTGCAATGCTGTGGAGAGAAGCACTCAGAAAATAAGATGAAAAAATTAAATTGCATATCATTGCTCCAAAAGTCGTACAATGTTTCTGATAAAGTACAGCTTTTTGCAAGTAAATGAAAATCGGTTCAAGTCACGGAAAGCAATAGCGCAACGGACACCCATATTTACGTAGTGATAACAACCTAGGACCATGTACCGCAGTGAATGTAAGACATTAACTATAACTCTGAAGACGGCGCCTTCAGAATAAATATGCCTTTAAGAATAAATAGACCAATTATGGTTGGCAGAATATTGCCTAGAAGCATATCACCTACGAACACCTGTCGGTACTTCAGAAACTGTCATTTTAACCAGTTGATTATCGTATTGCGCATTGGTGGAAACTAGATTGTAAGCAACGGTATAAGGTTGAACAGAAAATAAATCGCTTAGACGATGACCTGTGGTAGTTGCGATGCAGTGCTTTGTGATCAAACAGGAAAATCGGTCTCTACACGCCTTAATGAACACCAATTGGTAGTTAAGTCTGGAGACCACTTGTCTCAAGTTGCCATTCATACACTGGAAACTGAACACAAATTTTTATGGGATCAAATTTGCACAGTTTCTTTCTACCCATCCTATAAAGCCCGCGAGTTTTAAGAGGCCATTAACATCAAAAACTTGTGCGTTGATCGGCACATCGAATTGGATAC